AACTCTGAATAATACCTAGTAATCTTAAATTTTAATTGTCAATTTAGTATCATTACTATAATTCAGCTGGGGAAAAAAATTGTTCGAATGGGCACTCTCGAAATTATTTCGTGAAATAGAGTGAATGCTACAGTAATTCTGAAGACGCATAGGAGTCCAAGCGACTTACTGGGGAGACGCACAGAGTGCAATTAATCATTCATATTTTTATGTTAGTCGTGTAAATATATATATAAACTTTATATCTACTAAATATTCCATTTAAATTGGTATTACGAACATATTTGACATTAATTTAATTATAAAACTATTTTTATTTAAAATACACGAGATATTATCATAATGATATTATTTTGGACAACAATTTTAATTAGAAATTATGTAAACACGATATTGGTTTCTGTAGAACACAAATTCAATGCTTTGACTCCAAAAAAAATTACCCTTTGTACATTTATGAAAAAGTGAAAAAATTACCCTTTAGTACACAAGTTGAGTGATTAAATTGAAAAGAAATAAAAGTACAATGAGTGAATTTGGAGAGAGAATAAAATTGAATGATTAATTGTGTAATTTTATTTTTTTTCAATTTAATCACTCAACTTTTGTTTGACTCCTATTTTAATCACTCATCGACCATTGCTCAAGTTGTTATATGGAACTCAATTTGGTACATCAACTTTAGCATTAAATTTGTGTATTAAAGAAACAAACATCGTGCTTATATAATTTCTAATTGAAATTATTGTCCAAAAAATACAATTGTATTTAATTAATTTGGAGAGAAAATAAAGTTAATGATTAATTATGTAATTTACCCTTTGTACATTTACATAAGAATAAAATTGATGAAAAAAATATGAGAGACGTATTGCACTCCATGAGTCTCCCCCAAATTTATGTATAAGTCGCTTGGATTTCAATGCATTTTCGAGTTTACTGTAGCATTCACTCTTTTTAACGAAATAATTTCTAGAGTGTTTTATTCGAACAATTATTTTTTTTCAACTGCATTATTCGTAAAATTCAGCCCATTACTATTATTGTTATTAAAAATAAAATTAAAGTTTTTAAATGATATAAATCATAAATTTAATGCAAGTAAAAAATAACGATGTGATTGTGATGAACTGACTGTTGATAATTCATCAGTTGTACACGCGGCGTCCTGAGGTTAATGAAAAAACAAAAGTATCTCTAATATGAGGGACTTTCTGTACCTCGAAGGGGCCGACATAGGTGTCGGTCTTAGAAAACGAGACAGGTGAATGTCAAATTCAAAGGGGCCTTTTGTTTTGGTTTGGTAGAAGTCAAACGTCTTATCTAATTCTCTCTAATATGAGGTTAATATTATTATCGTTTAAGTAAGGTTTCGAGTTTGAATTATTTTATATATAAAATATTCTTATCGGGATACTCGCCCAATCAAATTCATGTGTGCGACATGAGTTGGTCCGAATTAATGAAAGTAAACCTTAAAATCGAAGGAGAATACAAAAATATTAAAATACTCAAACAACACAATTGAAATACGGGAGTTCATGTATATTTTGTCTCCTAACCTTAGTTACAACTTTACTTGCGAGTACATAACCCAGTTGAAAATTCACTAATAAATCTAAAGGTATATTTAAGTAATTAGACACAAAATAATTGATCTTAGTGATGAAAGAATTGTTGTTGTTTTTTTTTAAAGTTTTAGGTTCGAGTACATGCCATGAGTATAAACGTTTAATGTCAAATGATTAAGAGTTAATTTTGAACTGATATTACATTGTATTCACTATATATTAATAAAAAAAAAGCAATTAGATGTGTACATAAATTTTAAAAATTCCAATAGATTTACGCTAACATTTTATCAAATATTAACCAAATAAAATAAATATAAAACTCCATATATAGATATATTTAATGGTCAACAATTCTGTTATAATAACTAGTACTCGAACCAATAATTTTAAAGAACAAAAATAATTCCTTAACTATTAAAGTAAATTTGAACATTTGATCTTATCAACATTAGAGCATGTCTCTAGATTCTTATACATCCAAGTGTCTTTTAAACTAAAAAAGTATTGATAGATATATAAAATTAAATCAAGGTCTCTATCTATCACGTCCACTTGGAGACAATAATTAACCGATATTTGTTTTTAAATATTATTAAATGAACGACTCTCAGATTTTTTCATTTCCTCATGATTATGCTACGTCGTACGTGTATTATAACAAAGTGGATCTGTCAATTTAATTATTGTTTTTAATTTTAAGTTAAATTTAATCAATCTATATAATATATTTAATCTAATTTATGATTCGATCATTTAAAAATAGTTACAATAATAAAATATCATTTTCATAAATTAAATCGAAAAGAAATAAAAGATTTTTTTTTTTACGATTTCATGAATTTCATGCCTAACATATTGTATTTTTAATGAAAGTTAGCCAAAACTGAAGATAGAGGCAAGGAGCAAATATTTTATTTTAGCCTTAAATTAGATTATTGTATAACAAAATTTTAAATTTCTTAAAGCAACAGGATGTTTAAGGGATATTATATTAACTTAAGGTTAAAGAACAACATTGAAGGGTAGCAATAAAAAATATAATCATACCCTTTTTTATAATTTAATTATAAATCATTATTAATTTTTCCCTATTTTTCTTAATTTATATTCTCCAGTTGCCATTAAAGATACCCCATGCTTTCCAATTCGAGACTGTGGACTGTGGTCATGATTCTAAGTAAAAATAAATAAACATTTTCTAATTTATAATAAAAAATTCGATCGCATCATTACTTGACTGATTTTAACCAATTAATATTATTCTATAATCACCAAATAATCTAGCTAACGTCGACATGAATGAAAAAAAATCATCAACGATTAGTTGACTAAATCATGTATTTAGTATTAAAACAATTACTTTTAGTTTGTGATCTAAAGATAGAAATATCTTCGCATAATGTGATCTATGATGTGTATCGAATTCCATAAGATTCATGATTTGAAATTATGGACCAAAGCGACATGAAATTTGTTGTTAGATTCATGTATACATGCATATGGTAAATAGAGAGGAAATTTGTTGTTGGATCCTGGAAGATGAACGAAGATTGAGTGGGGAAAAAGGTATTAATTTCTTATTTCCCCAATTATCGGGTGTCTTGAAAAGTTAAATTGTCTAGTACGAAAATGGACAAAACTTTCCCATCTTATATATCGAAAATTTGGGATTTTATTTTAAATTAATAAATAATTAGTCAGTGGCGGATCGATATTAACATTAGTGTCTACCCTTAAAAAAAATTAAAATTAAAATTTCCTTCAATAATATGTATGTTTATCCTGAAATTTTATAATGTCTATTCAAAAAATTTATCATACAAAAAAATTTATATTATTAATACACGTATATGTCCACTTTCAATTTTTTTAAATTCCGTAATTGTACGTATTACACGAAATTTGGTAGCATACTCCCTCCCAGATTTCTTGGGTGGGTAAGACCCATTTTGGGGAGGGGGGGGGGTTCGTGATAGGGCTGCTTATTTTTAAACCGAATGATATAAAGGTTTGTCTTCAAAGCCGTAGCTAGGTTTCAACGATTAAAATTAAAATTTAATATTATACTTAATTTTTTTAAAAAATTTAATAATATAAATAATACACGGTATAAAAATTATTAAAACACAGTCTCAAACTGATAAATGAAAAAAAGAGGGGTTTTTCTTTGTGGGTGCATACTTGAGAATGATCTGGCTTATACCTAATTTAAGTATTGTATCCCAAAATAAAGAATTTACGTACACTTTGCTTTCTTTGACTTGGCTTTGGCTTTTTTTAATTATTATTATTATTTTATCAAAATAATTCTTGATGTCATCTTTTAATTTTATTTTAGTCATTTATTATTAAAATGTTAACAGTAATATCAACGTATTATCGTAAGGTAATGTTATATATCACATTAGTAGTTTTGTTAATTTTTCAACGTCAAGTGATAAAAATAAAATCAAAATATACTGTTAGATAGGATCTGAAAGAGTAATAGTTTATTAAAGTTTTTTTTTTGCCTTTTTACATTTGATAAAGTATTTCAGCAATATTTTATATTCATTTTTATTATTAATTTATTTTTTTTAAAAGATTTATTGATCGTTGTTTTAAACAATTTATTTACAAAAGGGTTATTACTAGTTTATTAAACAACAAACATGTTTAGCTCAAAAATTAATTTTGATGTTAATTTTTAGTGACAAAATCTTATTTTAATTAACATCAATGTTGTTATGTTATTTTGAGTAAACTACACGTTTAGTACATTAATTATCATTTTTATTTTAATTTGGTCACCAAATTATTTTTATTTTCTAAATCATACTTAACGTTTAATTTTAGTTTTATTTTGATCATTTGTTGTCACAGAATTAACGTTGATGTTGACTTGTCACCATAAGATAATTTCAAGTCGTCATTGAAGACATGCAATATTGTCACTTTAAAAATATTTTTTTAGCATTGGGTGACCAGAATAAAATCAAAATTTATTGTTGGTTATAATATTTAAAAAAACAATTAATGACTTAAACAGAATAAAAGTGATAGTTAAATTACTAATTGTAGAGTTTACCCTAAAATTTTAAAAGTTATGATGTGCCAAAAATGATATGAGATAACAAATAAAAATGTCATGAAAGAACAAAAAAATCATATTCAAAGGACCTTTACATCCATCTGACATCTGGCAAAAGCAAACCTCAGCTTTCATGACAACGGGCAAGGGGGAATTTGGTGGCAGGCCCCTGTTTTTACCATATGTTTGATCAGATTTGAAAATTACTTCTTAGAACAGTTTTCTTTCCCCTTTTTTAAGATTAATTGTTTTATGTAATTTCTCTATTCCCAATTTCCTGTTTCAAATTGTAATTGTAAAAGAGAATAGGATTGAATTTCCAGTGTTGATTTCAAGCTTCTGTACACTATGATTCATTGACAGAGATGACCTAGACAGAGAGATAGAAGATGACAGAGTTTTAGCCCTTTCAGAGAAAAAGCAAAAGGGATTTAAACACACTCACAATTGACAAACGCAAAAAGCAAAATGAAAAAGAAAACATTAGTAATCCCACAGCAAACCTTCTTCGAAGCCATTTAGTAACTGATTACAAACGTACTGGCAATCTTCCATGCTTTCGAGCCATGGTGAAGAAGCATAAAACCATCTGTCCATCGAGTCCAGAATTACCAACTCATTCCCCAACTCAGCCGAGTCGTAACTTGTCCCTAGACTCGGTAGCTCCACTATCTCGCTCAACTCGTCCGACCCTGAGGTTAAGTCCGGATGAAAAACCAAAGAGGATAGGGACGACGACGACAAAGAGGAATTTGAAGGTGATGCCGTGGATGGTGACGGAGAGTCCAAGTTTCCCATTTGGGCAGCTTCGGCTGCCGCAGCTTGCACGTCACGTGGTGCTAGAGACACGGGTCGCGGTAACGAGTTCGCGAGTTCAGGGAAGTTAAGAATCGCTGAGTCGCCTTTGATGCTCAGAGCGGCCATGTCGTGTGCTCGAGCTGCCATTTCCGGCGTGCGGAAAGTACCGAGCCAAATGCGGGATTTCTTGCGCGGCTCGCGGATTTCGGACACCCATTTGCCCCAGCTTCTCATTCGTACGCCTCGGTAAACCGGGTGGTTGCTTGAGTCCCCCCTCATTCGCTTCATCGTTTTACTGCAATCGGCGGTGGTTTCAGGTTTACCATTTAGAGTCGTGGTTGAGGTTGGGACCGAGTTAGGAGGTGAATGAGTTGACCCAGGAGATGAAGCCCAACAGAATGAGTTGGAACTGTACTCTGTTTCTGAAATTTGCAGCTCAGTCATTTTTATTAGTCCCCTCTTAGTGGCGACTTGGAGCTGCTAATAAACTTACAGAAGAAAGGACAGTATAAGCAGGCAGCCAGGCAGGCTAGCAAAAACAGAGTAAATTGAAGTCACAGTGATGAATGGAAAAAAACAAAGGCAGAGCTAAGAACTTAGAGTGCAGAGCGGAAGGTGGTGGGGGTCTGGCCATACGCCATGAGAGAGTAATTTTGAGCGAATGTTTTCTGAGATTAAAAAACAATAGCCCCGCCTTTTTTTAGTTGTACATCATTTCCCAACGACTCACAACACTTATAAACATTGAGAGAGAAAGGTAATAGCCTATAATGACCCACAAAGGAAATGGGTCACCCTGCTACACCCTATGGTTCAATGGGGGTCCTTTTCTCTACTACCACGCAACCTCTATTAATTTGTTCTTCTTGGTCACCGTTTTCACCGTGTCTCCCCATTTCTCCATTGCAACTTTCCCCTGAGATTGTTTTCGTTTGCTAGGGTTATATAATTAATTATATGATTTAATCCGATTTCACGTACGTTTGGCCTTCTTTTTACCGTTTAGGGTTTTGCTTTTTTTTTCTCTCCATGGGATTTACCTTCTTATGTTATTTAAACAGTTTAAACATAAAAAATATATTAAATGTTAAGACAACAATCATCAATGTCAAAACATTACAATCTTGAGTACGTAAGTGGATTGGTCAAGACAAAGTTTAGAACCGAGACAACAACCAAAACAAATGAATTGAAGCATGTAAGAAGCGAGTGCCAAATTATCGCATCCAAGGAAATAACAGCATTTACCTACGCGGGTGTATTAAATTTTGGGCCAACATCAGAATAGACGACAAAATATTTCTTGACCGTAACTCAGGTATTTTGTAGCCATTGGTGTACCCGTGAGTTGCTGCTTTGGACCCTCCGATCTGAATACCTTTTCTTTAATCGGTTCCTTCGAGTGTCAATAATTCAGACCATTAACAGACTTTAACAACAACTTCAATTTAATCCTATGCAATAATTATTTTCATTATTAAACTCATAAACGAATCGAACATTCAGTGAATTATTTTTGAACTATTCGGTGGGAAGTTCGTTTATATATTAAAAGAATGAATATGAAAAAGATTTTATGTGCGCTTAATTAAATGTTTGAACACGAACGAAGGGTCTATTCGATCATTTACGTTCATGAACTCTTGGTATCCGTTTGTTTGTGTTTTTTTTTATATTCGCTTATGTTCATTTATTTATATTCTTTCGTTTATATAAATTACAATCTCCAAACCCATTTAAAACATTAAGACCTAACAAATTTTAAAGTCAAACTCATTAATATTTTAAAATCTAATTAATTTTAAACTCGGATACTCAAATCAATTAAAAAAAATATAAATTCTAAAATTATTTAGAAATAAAAACTCTTTACTGTTGAAAAATCAAACCACATGGGCTGCTAAGCAGCCGGTGGCTTTGAAAAAAAAAATTATTAAAAACCAATTTTGTTGATTTTTTATATGGTCAAATTACAAACTTTAGTCATTAAACTTTAGTGTATTTATAAGATTAAGTCCTTAAGATTTAGCTATAAATACCCTATCCCATTTGGCTTCAAAACCATCCCAAAGCATTCTAGTTTTATTCCAATACTATAGAGAATTTAAAGAGTTTATTGAGAGTTGTTTTTTCCTTTTTATCAAGAGAGAATTATCATTGTTTTCTCCTTAGTCGATTGAGAGAAGTTGTAATTCCTATTTTCTCTTAGTGAAATTCTTGTACCGTTGCCCGTGGTTTTTACCCTATATTATTCAGGGGTTTTCCACGTAAATTTTGTGTATCTTTTATCTTCATTTTTATTTTCTCAAATTATCAGTTGCGATTTTGCTCTATCCGATAGCCGTCTTCCGCAACATTTACAAATATAAACCCAATTAATTTTATGTTTGTTTGTTTGTTTATGTTCGTTCGTTTGTGTTTGTTTACCATTTAAACGAACGACCATAAACAAACACAAACAAGTTGCATGAATGAACATAAATAAAAAATTTCGTTTATTTAATTGTTTTGTTAGTTCGCTTGTCCGATTAAAATTAAACAAAAGAACATGAATATACCATCGTATGTGTTCATTTTCGGCTCATTTACATGCCATAATCAGTAAATTCAATTTACATACCAGACATCAATATATGTGTTTACAGTACTCAAGGGTGAGAATAAAAAAGCTTACATCTGAAGCATGCAGGCAGCAGTGCACCGATGGTTTGTCACATGCATTAGCGTATTTGCCCATGCATGCATGCAGAGTTGATTAAAGTTATTAGGTTGTTAGTTCCATGCACCGATTCGTTGCGTATTTCAGGGTTTTTTCAACTCAATAATTTTATGCAGAAACAGACAAACGTAGATCTGTTAAATTCACGTGGTTCGCTGCAAGCTGGTGTTTGTGAATTCATGTTAGCCCATACATGGAATGTATGCGCACTGAAGCTTAAAACCTAAACGTTGATCTCAAATACGGCAAGCGTGAGTGACCTTCAACATCTTTCTTCATTTATGATCATCAATTCTGATCAGTGTTTCCTTTTTTTTTTCATTTATTGGTGTCGGTGACTTAAATTGCGGGTGGGTTTGTGTTGCGTTTATCACGGTTGCAGATATAACGAATGTTATTGGGGCATTGCGGGTACTATAGTCGTGAATCTTCTCCAAATGAGTTAGTTTTTTTTTAAATATTAAAATAGCAATCCGCTATTGTTACGATTGAACGCTATCCATTAAATTGCGGCCATGACCCGTTGTTATTGGTGTGATTCCGCTTCATACCACTATTTTCTGTGATAATGATCTCATATGTTGCCCCGACCACGATATAGCAGCCGTTATACCGCTATCCGGCCGCTATTCGAATCCCTTGATGTATTCACCATAGTGCTCTTCGTTTTATGAATTTGAAGGATTTGAGTTTTCTGCCTTTCGCAGCTCAGGTGAATCTAAAGTGGGTGAAGTGCTGATCTTCAGTTTGACAGACAACCTTTCCAGATTATAGTAAAGACGCTTTCTTTTAGTTTTATCAGATATTTTATTATCGTTGTAGGGATTTACCTATAGATGGCAACCGTCGGATTTGTAATCAATCTAATCCGAAAATTATATATTATCCGCCTGATTTGTTCACACTCACAATATATATATATATATATATATATATATATATATCCGACTTGATCCAATATTTTAGAATATAAATTTGATACGATCCGACTTGACTTAACCTAAAAATATATATCTTCCACTCGAATTTTATCAGTACGACTCGATGTTTCTCTAAGTTAGGGATGGGCACGATGCGGGTCGAGCAAAGTTTTTGGCCACCCAGCCCCGACTCGAAAACGTAGATGTAAATCCTAACCCTGCCCCGCCCTAAGGAATTTTGAGTTTTTTCACGCCTCGAATCACTACAGCAAAACAGAGTTTTAGTGGCGTTTTTAAGCGCCGCTAAAAGTATTTGTGGCGATAGGAAAAACGTTGCAAGAAGCGCCGGCAATACCAGCGCCGTTAAAGTTAGCGGCGTTTGAGAACAAAAAACGCCGCAATAGGTCAATATCTATTACGACGTTTTTTGAACAAACGCCGCAAAAGGTCGATATCTATAGCGGCGTTTTTGGAATAAACGTCGCAAATATATAGCCGCAAAATGTCATATCTATAGCGGCGTTTTTGGATACAAACGCCGCAAAATATAAGACCTATACTGGCGTTTTTAGAACAAACGCCGTAAAAGGTCAGACCTATAGTGCCAACAACCATACATTTTAATTAAGACAAAAAACATAAAGAAAAATACTTAACAACAAAATAAATTAAAGTTTTTTTTATGGATAGAGAACCTTAAAAGACATTAAAGTACAAATGAGTTACAACTGAACCTCAAAGTGTAGATATACATGGATTTATTGTTCGATACATCCTCAATTTCACTAGCGTCATCATCATAACCTCCAGATATGCCTTCTAAAGCTACTTTGTTTCCCACTTCATTGGAATTTGTCATATTCATCGTCTTGACATCTTATTTGAAAGTATCATTTGACAGTGAATGATCTCTCCTCAATAGATTAAAAACAAATGGGAAACACTATGTCAGTCTATTGAAGAAGCCGCTTTTTGTTGAAGTTTGTTCTTCAAGATTACTGCAATTACAATAATTTAGATGAGACTAAGAAGAGAAGGAAACAACCAGCAGAACTTGCATTCATAACATACATGTGAGTGATTGAGAACTGAAAAAAGATGTTGCAACAAACAACAAAAACAGGAAGTCAGGAACCATGAAAACTAAAATATATTCTATATAAGAATGTAAAAAATGTCATCATAAAGAAAACATTTAATAATGTATTGGTTGCCATCTTACTTTTAGAAGTTAGAATTCTTACCCCAAGAATCTGAGCAAGTTTGTATTCTTAGAAAACTTAAGGAAATACAAAAGAGGGATAAGCAATGAAATCTTATAATTTTGGATCAAGAAAGCATGCATGTCTAAGTCCCTCAAAGTTCATAGGGAAAACCCTAGTAGGTTCAATCATTTCAAGATTGCTTCATGTGCCTTTTGATCCTATTCATGATCAGTAAAATAAACAAATGAATCAAGGAACATATATTTCCAGTTATAACTTTGTACTATAAGAATTTTAGACGATAAAAAGAACTCAAAAAGTGAACTACTTACTCTTAGTAGTAAAGGAATGTGCCAAATATTTGGAACGTCATAGAGAGTGACAGTATTTTCGGCCTAGAAAGAAATCATATTTCTTAATAACAGTAGTTACTGATTTAGGAGATGGAAGAGAAGCATACAAATAGAATTCATGTTTCATTACCAGAACATGGTAAAACGGAGAGAGCTTTAACTTGACATTATCATCAAGTGCCTATTGCAAAAAAGGGGCAAGTGAATGAATAAGAAATGTCAAATTAGCACTGCTAAATACAGTTGAAAAATATAAATAAGGGTAGAACCATTGTACTACAACAAGCAAGAATATTTGGTCTCAAGACAAGTCTTCTAAGTCCCCGAACACTGTGCTAACAAGCATGTTCCCTCATTGCTTGATTCTTCTGAATTCCTTAAAACGAAGAATTATACCATTACTTCAAACCCATAAGGAATGTACATATACAGAAAACAAAGAGATAACAAAGAAAATATATTATATCTGAGTTTGAGC